TTTTGGATCTGATACAGAAACTCAGAGACAGCATGGCAGTTTGAAATAAAAGATGGTGGGAAGTGAAACATAGGGACGAAAAATTTCAAAAGACCATATTCCTTCAGCCAACTTTGCCCAGCTTATGAGCTTCCAAGTGTGCGTGGAAATGTGTGTGTGTGAAAAAGAGAATGCATGGGATGGATTGAGAACTGTGTGGGAAAAGAGCTCCATTGAGAGAAACCAACAGACTGATTTAAGAATCATGGTAGCCTTTTCTTCCCCACTGTCAATAGATGGTGTGGAAAAGCCATAACTCTATTTTAGAGCACATACTTTGCCTCCTGAGGATCCCAGTTTCAATCAGTGTCATCTGCAGAAGGGTGAGGAGGAACTTCTAGAGGAAACTCTGCAGGAGATGAACCTCTAGAGGAGCAGCAGGATAATGCAAGTGTTTTGGCTTTACAGGTGTTCCGAGCCCATACTTATGGGGAGGTATTGCTGCAAGCCTTTTCCTGCTTATCTTGTTGCTATTGGTCTTTGTATGGTACAAAAAAAGGAGAAAAGGTAAGTGGGGATGATCTAGTAATAAACACTGTGACAGAGTAATAGATGAGTAATATTCTACATACCGTACCATGCTAAACATGGTATATAAAGCTCACAGGATGAGCGTGTTGCCTCCATTTTCACAGAACAGCACAAAAAAGCTTCTCTGCAAAAGCTGATTCATTAGTGTCAGAAAGAGAAGTTGGTCCTTTTGAAAGCAAAGTAAGTTTCTACACCTTGTGGTTTAAGAGAATCTTGAAGCTTGCTGGCAATAGGTGATAAAACATGAAAACGTTGAAAACTGGCCCAGGAAGATTTCTGTTCATCCAAGGGAAGGGACGTGTATATCTTGTTTTCTCTTTTTGCAGAGTGAAAGAGAATTAAGAAAAACCAAATAGGGAGATGAACTAGGCTGGCTTAAAGAAGTTGAAGAAATGCATAATGGTCATTACATTTCAAAACATTCCATCTTTAAACTGGCTTAAAAAGTGGCTTACAACAAATATTTAAAAGCAAAAGAAGCCATCTGATGAAGGAGAAATGCAAAATTAAGAAATCTGCACAATAAATCAGCAGCACAATATAACATTTGCAACATTTTGAATAAAAAGAAGAGACTTAACCTCATGCCTGATTTCAACCATGTGGCAGCAGCAAACCTCTCCAGGGAGGAAATTACAAAACTGGGGTGCAAAGACCTAGCGTGGGAATTGGGATGAAAAAGCCTAGTGTGGGAATGGGTAGAATTTGCTTTAACTGCAGGCTTCATAGGAAAAGTCCTCCAGGTACACCAGCCTCTCTAACTAGAATAATATGAAGGTCTCAGCAGCTGTATTTTGAAAAACAGAGCAAGTTTTTAAACACTGGAGCTGAATAATTATTAAAAAAATAATAAACTTGTATGTCACCCAACTCTCAACAACTCTGGGTGACTCACAACAATCAAACAAAGAAATTACAACAAAATCAGTAAAAGATAAGAATCAAGATAGAAGATGGCAAATGCGATGAAGCCAAAGGCCTGGCTGAAGAAGCAGGTTTTCACGGCTCTTCTAAACGCAACAGCAGAGGGAGGGCCATCCTGGCAGAAAACTTTTCTGCTATACAGTAATCAGCCCTGATGGAGACTCAGTCGCTGAAGAATTTTGAGAGTTAGAATACTTTGGAAAGGAGCAGCTGCTATGATTTTAATGAGATACAAGTTAGGCAAAGGATCTCACAGGTGTCTCTGATCCACAGGCTCCATAACCAACGAAGACAACCCAGCGGTGAGCACGGTAAGATATTTCCTTCCATGCGTGTGCCTTCCTTCTTTGCATTATCTCATCAGATCCAGATGTTAGAAC